GACCCCTTCCTCTAGCCAAAAAGCCAATCTCGAGGCTTTAAAACCATCGTCCCGACCAACAGGTAACGCCGCGATGACTTTGTTCGGTTTCATGCAGACAGCCTGTGACTTGGGGGTCGACTTACAGGGCGGGGCTGACTGATGAAGCTGGACACGATGGGGGTACACCTCAGCGCGTCCGCTCTACGGCCGACCCACAGAGTGATTACACCTGGAGGGCTTGATGGTGACCTACAGCTGGACAGATAACAGCTGACACGAACAGCTGGACTCTCGTCAGCCGCTCACTTCCACTAACGTGCGCTTTACGTCATCTCGTCCAGCGGAGAGAAGAAAGTCATCCATCTTGTTAGCTCGGATGCTAACAGGTTGAGCTATACTTGTGTACGCTAGTTTGTACCGTCAGCGTTTTGGTGAATCTGACATCAGATGGAACAAAAGAGGGAAAAATAACCACAGAACAGTTCTATGTGATTATAAAGAAGCTTTAACAGATACACCAAGTTACATATTTGAATACAAAATATCAAAAAGTTAATATTCAAATTTGATAATTGAAAAAAAGACAAAAATTTGAACTTTGGTTACATCATGTTATTCTGCAATATATGAACTCCCTTTAATTATCTAAAAATAACATCTAAATGTATCTATTTGTTAAATTGATTGTATTCAATTTTTTCTCTGGTAAATAAAAATGTCTAGATTTTTATTTTCTTGTGTAATAATTAAATTAGTGTGCAGAGACAAACTTCGGCTCTGGTCCGGGTCTACTTGACTCCCCCTCCCCGCCCTCTCTCTGCATCACCCATATTGAATCCCTCCTTTCTGCAGTGCACAGTCATGGGTGCGCTGTGCGCATGCGCAACATCACATCCTGCTGATCAATAAATCTGGCCCGGACTAACCCGAGTTATGAATTTAGAGATCAGCACTAGAGACACAACTCGCATCAGAGTCCAAAAAAAAAGACTACCAGGCCACATTTCTAAGGGAGGTTTCTGATACTTATCAGTAGATTCACCTGCGTTCACGCATCGCTGCGGGACACACACGCACGCGCAGACACACACACACACACACACACACACACACACACACACACACACACACACACACACACTGATCTCTGTGGTCCGGGCTAGACCTAATCCGGATCAGGCCTACCTGGCGCACCGTCCGCTCCTTTTCCGCCTTTTGGGAATCTTCATCTGGGATTTTATTTCGGCACAAAACGTCCTGGTCCAGAAAACCCACCGTTCCTCTAAGGGGGAGGCGGGGTTTGGGCCTCAGTCTCCCGCAGGACTAAAGCACCATTTATTTCTCCTCTGACGGTCCCCGGTATCAAACCAGACCGGATGCGTCCACGGACCGGCCGCGCGATGCAGAGCACACCCGCTGCAGGACCGGGACGCACCGGGTCCACAAGGACCAGAGACCTGCTTCTATTTCCCCGGGAGCGCTCATTAAAAACCTGCTCGTCCGGGTCCGGGTCCTCCTCCGGTACTCCGCCGCTGCAGATGGGTGGAGGAGGAGGAGGAGGAGGAGGATGGGAGGATGCAGACTGGATCCTCCCTTCTGCAGGACCAGATCCGGGAGAAACCAGACCCAGAACCCCGAGTGGTGCTGACCCGGCCCGGCTGTGTGTGTGTGTCAGGTTCTCCGTCTCCAGCCTGTTTGTCCGCACTGCAGCTCCGCATCCAGCAGCATCAAAAGCGCGTCACCGCACACCAGCACAACATCCGGTCGATGCTTTCAGAATAAAACGCCCTGTGATCCGTTCACCTCAAATTCCAAAGCCAAAGTTTTGTTCCTTTTACTTTGTTTGTTGGATTACACCGTGTTGTTAAATATCAGTCAATGTTATCATCGTTTTTACTATTTGTTACATGTTTCGGTAGTATATCAAAATGTAGTTCCGTTTAAATGCACATATTTATATATACATATAGAGGTTTATCAATATTAAACAGTTTGGAATCAAAATATTTGTATGTTTTTCTGTTTGGGTGATGAATAAAAATTGAATTGATTGGTCTGTCTTGTATAAGGGACCAGTATAGCTTCAGTTAATATACCAATAGTTTGTTTCAATTATTGAGTAAATTGTTTTGTTCATAATTGAACAAATTGAAAATTGAATTTTGAGGTCTTCAAATGTCTTCCAACGATTGGTCCACAACCAAAGTTATTCCGTTAGCGATTAATCCTCATTTAATTAATACTTTGTTTCTGAGTGTCCTTTAGATTGGAGCCCCAGAAGCTGTAAAATGTGGTGTCGACAAAAGCTTTTTATGAGACATTTCAATGAGATTCTTGTTAATAATTAAATATTTCTTCTCTTTTACTGCTTTTAATAATTATTTTTTGACTACTCGACTCCACTATTTCTACTTTGGAGACATTCTACTTTCCTCCATCACATTTCATGTTCTACCTAATCCTTTTTTTCTAAAAACATGTCCGACAGTTGGAGTTGTGTTTTCAGGATTCTGATTGAAATGATGCAATAACCGAATAAAATGTGATGCATCTCGAAAGTGGATTCAATTCATGGAGCTGATTTAATATTTATTGATCCACCTCGTCTGAGCGGCGACATCACGTCCTGTTTCAGAGCAGAATTTAGATGTGTTATTATATTAAGTATTTTACTGAAGTAGTATTTTGAGGTACTTGTAGTTTACAGAATCAGAGGATTAGAATTGTTGACTGTTTCATTTATTTTTTACTCAATCTCAGATGGAAATATTGTACTTTTTACCAACATTTATTTAACAGCATAATTTGCTGATAAAGTTGTCTTCAGTCAATGGCTTTAGCTCTGCATAGATATCAACTTGTGGATGTCAGGTAACTTTCTTTACGGCACCATTCTTGCATCGATCCCCAAGAGAGGCAGGGGGCGCTGTTCAGTCCCACCCTCTAACCAGGCCCCTGAACGCCTCACCGTCCCCTCCATTTAACCGTTGGGCCTTTTCTAACGTTGTTGTCGCGCGACCATCCGCCTCCGTCGCACCGGGAGGCTTCTGTTCTCAGTAGAAAACGATGAATACGATCGATTGTTCTCTGTGGGGATTCTATTGATCCGACGTGAGAGCCTGTGGCCTCGAACGCACCAACACACACACGCGCACACACACACACACGCACACGCCGACTCTTCCTCGCACCGGTTCCAATGTTCGCTTCGATCGGTTTCTACCGTTTGTTCGTCGTCTTCCTACCTGAATGTGGTCTTCTGTGCGGAGCCGAGCAGGTTCCTCCTCCTCCGCTCCATCTCTACAGCATCAGCACCACTCAGGAACGCACGCACGCACGCACGCACTTCCTCTGTGTCGCCATGGTGACGCTGCAGCGTCGCAGCGCCCCCTGCTGGCAGGGAGACCCATCAATCGTATTCATGTGGAGTAAAACACACATATTATCCACTTTATGTAGTTAAAATACTTAATAAATAAATAAGTACACAAGCGTTATTAGATTCCCATCGTTAAAGAATTAGCACTAAATTAGTAATATTAGTACACCGCCATGTATCACATTAACACAGTTAAAGTATTGGCAGAATAAGTGCACACGTATAGTCTGCTTCAAGCAAATATCCGTAGTGAAAAAGATAAATGTATTGCAGTAGAAGTTTAAATGATGCCGTGGAAAACGAGAGAACAACCAGCTCATCTCACTCGCTTGTTCTGGAGCTTTTGACCACATCACGGTCTTCATCAGCTGACTGAGTTTGCTCCTTTTGTTGGTTTATTTTAGATGCTTCAAATGGATTTTGACAGATTCACATAATGAAAATAAAATCTCACGATTCCCCAAGTGCTCGAAACATATCGTTGATTTTCAATGGAAGCAAAAGTCACGACATTTCAAACATTAATTATTTGCAGATTTTGTTGTCTTTTTATTAATAAAATATTAATGACATTATTTCAAATTTACACATTCACATTTTGCCTTTAGTCCCTTTTACTATAAACAGTAAGAAGTGCAGATGGATTAACTAAAGTATTAAAGCCTAAATTTAAACAAACATTCAAAAGTGAGAATTTCTTTTTTTACAACAGTTGATTCCTTTAATTTCAAAATGCATTTAAATTTTTCCTCATATTTAGCTTTCTGCTGAATCTGTGAAACTTCTGCTCTATAAAAAACCCAGACTGGTTTAGTTTGTGTGTTTCTACCACAAAGTGGTCAGAAATAAATAAAACGTAAACAGCGTAAATACTCAGCTACAGGAAACGTATATAAACATAACACTGGATAAACATCAGATTTAATATATTTGTATAAAAAGGTATAGTTTTTTTTATAGAATCTGGTTCCCATCATATATATATTTGCACATTCACGTCTACGCGGAGCTGAACGCCGGGTTTGCAAAGTTCCCGCCGTCGTCGCCGTCGTCGTTCTCTGCGAAGTCCTCGGGGTCGAGGTCGGCCTCGAACATCCGCTGCAGCAGAGCGTCCACGGTCCGATATCCTGACAGGAAGCAGTGACATCATCAATACCGCCGATCAACCCGCTGGGAGAGCACAGCACTCTTGACTTACGTCACTAACAGTAACTTAGAAATCCCAAAATGAAATCAGCGTTTTATGTTAAACTAAACCAAACAGCAAAAAACGTGAAAATGTAATTCTTTTTTTCTTCTATTGTAGTGTTCTATTGTTTATATTATTATATCATGGTTTGTGTCATCTGCAGGTGAAACCACATCTAATCAGGACAAAAAGTTATTGAAAACTAGCAAAGTTTTATATTTGGACTCAACTCAATAAGCATAAGGCTTTAGAGGATATAGAGGATTTCTTGGCAGACAACGTTAAAAACTAAAAGTTTTATTTACGTCGTTCATTCAATGTTTCAGACTTGATGGTTAAAGTAAAGTGTAACACCAGGAACACTCCTGGTGGGCAAAATGAAGCAATTTTTTGATTTTTTTAATCTTTAAAAGGTGCTCTCCTAGTTTGGGCCTCAGCACGTTCTCTGATCTACAGATACAACAATCCGCCCTTTCAAAATAAAAGCATCCATTTGCTACGAATCTGCTCTTGTCCTTAATATCCTAAAGTCTTTTCTGCACTCGTACTCCTTTTAAATGCTGCCTGCCGGTCTGACTGCTTCTTACTTTTTGAGGCGATTTTAAACATTAGGGGAGGTTTGTTTGCCGATTGGCCGGTTCCCTGCTCGTTGTCGGCGGTTTCCATGGCGTTCACCAAGTTATCCTCCAACTTCTCCCTGGTGGACACAACGACACAAGTGGATGAGCTGAAAACATTTCCGATAACAAGACTTTGAGGGACATTTTTCTCTTATTGCCGCTTTTTCCAGATTGTTTGTGGATTATTGAATAATTTCAATTAACATAAAAAAAATGTAAAATCTCTATATAGTACAAACTTTACTAGATATGAAACAATCCCGTAATAAGGGGCCACAAGCTAAAGAACGCTAGGAACATGCTAAAAAGCCTGTGCTGAGTGACGGCCGTGGTTGCCGTGGTAACGTACTGCTCCACAGCCAGCTGCAGCTCCTCGATCTTCCTCTCCAGAGACGTCTGCAGGTCGCTCTTATCCACCGAATACTCCACGAAGAACGCCTCGAGGACGAACGCCACGAAGATACTGAAAAACATCAGAAACCCCGACAACATTTGGTGCAAATTGCCGCACTTTGCATGCTGGATTATCCGCTCGCAGCTCCTGACTGCAGTGAACTGTGTCTCCCGTCCCTCCTCCTCCTCCTCCTCCGGCTTACTTGATGATGACAATGACGACCATGATGTGGAAGAGGATGAAGAAGAGCCTGGCTGACGCGTGCGTGACGGCGGCGAAGCCGCTGCTGAGCAGTGGAGTCCTGTTAAGGAGTCGCAGAGTTTAACATTTCAAACAATACGAGTAACGAAATCGTTCTTAAACATATTAATGATTCACTCCACTACACGTCATTGGACAATTTTGAACATTTTACTACATTTATTTTATGACTTAAGTTAACGAGCCGATTTCAGAGTAAAACAATATTTTATCAAATCAATCTGACAAAAAACAGAAATTGATCAAAAATAGCTGCAAGTCTAAAACCAAATGGATGTATAAATATAATCGAAGGATATCGTGCCACTGGTTGACCACGGTGAGCTCCACCAGCAGGATGTAGGACGACACCACGTTGTTGAAGTTGTTCTTGCAGTAGTTTAGTTGTGCGAAGGCCGTCCCTCTCAGCAGCTCGTTCCCACAGTACGCCTTCGCCGGGTCGCTGGAGTCCTCCTCGTAGAACTTCACCTTCCCCTTGAACAGCTCCATCCCCACCATGGCAAAGATGTAGTACACCACCTGTGGGAGGCGGAGGAGGAGAACTCTCGAGATTTGAGCCACGTTAGCGACGGGTCTTAACGCCCGTCCACTACTTGAAACATCTGTGGCGACACACAGCTGTACCAATAATCCGCTCACTTCAGCATGTTACAGAATACTAGAAACACAAACTCGTACGTACGATAATCAGCTGTCCGAACGTGAGGATGGCCGGTCCGATCCTGATCAGGGTGTTGATGATTGCGCGGAACCTAAGAGGGGGAAGCGGCTCGGATGAGAGGCCGATTACACGCGACAAAACGCGCGTCCGGGCAGCGGTTCAAACTACACGGAGTCAGACCACGCTGCATTTACAGAGCAGACCTTTGGATGTTGTCCACCACGCGGATCAGCCTGAGGACCCGCAGGATGAAGACGATGTCCAGGATCTGCCGGCTGGTGTAGTTTCCCGCTGCAAACCAGGGTGAAAACGTTGCGCAACGATCGAAGATTCAATTCGAAAGGCCTCTTCAAAAGGGTCAGCTGCATTTTTT